ATATATATATATATATATATATATGTTTTTATATTATACAGACGTTTTTCTGTTTTGCTATTTGATTTGGTTTTGCTCAGAAAATAAAACAAATTCCTTTGTTTCGTTTTAATTCCTTTTTAAAGAGTTAGTAATTTTTTTTTCTTTTTCTTTTTATTTCTTTTCCTTGTTTTACCTGTTAATATTTATTTATTTTTATTTTTATTTTTTATTTTTTATTTTACTGTATTTCACATGGTGGCAGAAACAATATACTATCCGTTTTTTTTTTTTTTTAAAGAAACACCAATAGTCAAGAACCTTATAGCGAACAATAAAGAGAATAATTTGCGAAGAGAGTGAATTCATCATACGACAATAACGGAAAAATAAGGAGTTTTCGATGTCCCACACATCTTATCAGGAAGAAAAAGGAGTTAATCCATCACAATTGGATTTGCCACAAAATTCATTGCCTTTACAATGGTGGTATTTTAACGCACACTTAAAGGACGTGAAGAGTGGAAGGGAATTTTCGTTTTTTACTTCTTTTTTCCGTCAATCAAAAGATATTGAATCTTTGGAGAAAAAAGAATTCTTGGACGCCTGTACTTCGGCTTTGATTGACGTTGGTGAAGAAAAGTATTATGCTGATAGTTTGCTTGATCATCGGGCTGCTTCTATCATTCGGGAATCACTGAAGTCCTTTAAAGACAGAGAAGACGGTGATTTTTATACAAGGGATGTGGTTTTGGACATGGTAGAGAAAGGTCGTTTTCCTCGTCCTGATCGTGTCATGACTAAACCAGCTGTTGTGACCCAAGACACATTAAAAATAAATTATGATGATCAGTGTAAAGTGGAAGGTGAAGGAGAAGATGCCCAAAGAAAATACACTGTATATCATCATAATCCTTATTATGACATATCGGTAGATTTGCAGTTTTCTGCACATGATATGCCTATTTTACATGGTGAAAATGGTTATGTTAATGAAATGTTTTATTATTACATTCCTAATATGGATGTAAAAGGAACCGTAAAGATTGGTAATATTATAACAGAAGTGGTGGGTGATGGCTGGTATGATCGAGAATATGGAGGATCTTTTGACGAAAAAGGAAGAAAAGCCCTTGATGGTTGGACTTGGTTCTCTCTTCGGCTTTCAGATAATTCTTTTTTTAGTATGTTTCTTATTATTGACTCTGAAACTAAAAAAATGAAAGAATTTATTGGAGTTTTTACTTGTAATGGTGAAAGACGTATTTGTCGAGATATTCTTTTGAATGAAACTGAAAGATGGACAAGTTTGGTCTCTTTTTTGGAATATCCTGTTAAGTTTCACCTTGAGGTCCCATCTATTGACCTAATCCTTGATATACGAGTTCCTTTTAATCATCAAGAGGTTCCAACGCTTATAGCAAACGGTGGATTTTATGAAGGACGTGTTATTGGACAAGGAAAACGTGAAGGTAAATCAATTACTATGGTTGGATTTTATGAACAGAAGAATTGTGATAATAATGGTGACGTTTCTGTTTTACTAAAAAATGTTGGACGGTTTGTAAGAAAAACCCTTGCTGAACTTTACCCATTGGAAGCTACTGATGAATGGATTGCTAAAAACGTTCTTGGAAGATATTGTACTGGTACGGGAGTTGATTCTAAAATAATATGTGATTCATTATTTCGACCTATTCGTTCTATAATTGATAGAGGTGGTAAAGCATGGCGAAGTTTGGTTCTCGTGTCTGGTTGTAATGCACTTTCTCGTAATTACTTTGATTGCTCAAAGTATATTGCTATCGCTGAACTTCTACATGTTGGTTCTCTTGTTATTGATGACATTCAAGATGAGTCTACTGTTCGTCGTGGAGGTGAAACAGTTCATATTAAATACGGGGTTCCCATTGCTATTAATTCTGGAACAGCATGCTATTTTACGGCTGTTACTTTGGCAGATGTAAAATCATTAAATCCTGAAAAGGCTAATCGTATATATGAGCTTTATTTTGATGTTATGAAAGCAGGACATGCTGGACAGGGTTTGGATATTTTTGGGTTGGATTATTTGATGCCTGAGGTTGTGAAAACCGGAAATGCCCAACCTCTATGTGATGCTTTAAAAGCTATACATACATATAAAACAGGAGCAGCAGCTGCTGCAATGTGTAAGGTTGCTTGTATTTTATGTGATGCCAACGAAGAAGTAACAACAGCAATGGAAAATTTTGGATTAAGCCTTGGATTGGCATTTCAAATCGTTGATGATGCGCTAAATGTAAGAGGGTTTGAGGGTGATCTTAAGGAAGCGGGAGAAGATATTCGAGATGGCAAAATTACGTATCCTGTGGCAAAAGCGATGGAAAGACTTGAAGCTTCTCAGAGAAATCGTATTTGGATAATTTTACAGGAACGTACTTCAGATTGCCAAAAAATTCAGGAAGTTGTGGATCTTCTGAATTCAGTAAATGCAATAGATGATTGCTTAAAAGAAGCAAAGGAAATTGTCGATCAAAGATGGGAAGTGCTTGATGGTCTTATCGAGGACTCGTTTCCAAAAATTATGATGAAATCATTTTGCTCATTTCTTACCAAACGAAAGTATTAACAATACAAAAAAAAAAGAATATGTTTCATTCCTAATGACAAAAAAGAGGAAAAAAAAAAAAAAAGAAACAGCAACAACAAAGAAAGCAAGCAAGAAAGTTATATTTATAAAATTGCATATGCACTCCAATAGAGTGCTTTTTGATTTTGCTGTATATAGTGATATTTCGTTAAATAAATAGGGAAAAATAATAAAAAAAATGACAAATAATTAATATTTTACTTTAAACTGACATCATTATCATATGACATCAGAATGACAATATGTCATTACGAAAAATAAAAGTATTCTCGGGTTTTCATAAATATTTTTTTCTTTTTTTTTTTCTTTTTTAAGCATTTCCATTCGTTTATACAAGTGTTTATGATATCATACTAACTCTCGAGGTCATAGTTTTTGTAGATGTGACAAATACCGAGAGCCCCTTTTTTTTCCACACTGAAACATCGGCAACAAAAGCATGTTTCAGTTAAGACTGTATGCATGCATTCAATTTAAACTACATTCCATCTTATTATCAATGAAAACATCACATATGTGTGATAATGAAAGAAAAAAAAAAACATAAACATAAAATACTTTCTTTTCACTAAAATGTTTGATCTATATAAAAAGGAAGTAAACTACCACCCCAAAAAGGCAATCCCAAGAACATGTCGTCGAAACGTGAGAAGCTCCCCAAGCTTGGATTCTTCGAGGAATTCATGGTTGGTGGCGTTGCTGCTGGTGTCGCCAAGACTGCCGCTGCTCCGATTGAGCGTATCAAGCTTCTGGTGCAGAACCAGGGTGAGATGATTAAGCAGGGCCGCCTGGACAAGCCATACGCCGGTGTTGTGGACTGTTTCACTCGTACAGTGCAGACAGAGGGTGTGTATGCGCTTTGGCGTGGCAACCTCTCGAACGTTATCCGCTACTTCCCTACACAGGCGCTGAACTTTGCATTCAAGGATACGTTCAAACGCATGTTCAACTTCAAGAAGGAGAAGGATGGCTATGCGAAGTGGTTCATGGGCAACATGGCCTCTGGTGGTCTTGCTGGTGCTGCTTCCCTGTGCTTCGTGTACTCCCTTGACTACGTGCGTACACGCCTTGCCAACGACACGAAGTCTGCGAAGAAGGGTGGCGAGCGTCAGTTTAATGGTCTTCTGGACTGCTACGTGAAGACGTGGAAGAGTGACGGTATTGTGGGTCTCTACCGCGGTTTCATGGTGTCATGCGTGGGTATTGTTGTGTACCGTGGCTTCTACTTTGGTCTGTACGACACACTGCAGCCCATGCTCCCTGTGGACACATTTATTGTGAACTTCTTCCTCGGATGGATGGTGACGATCGTCGCTGGCCTTCTTTCCTACCCTCTGGATACCGTCCGTCGTCGTATGATGATGACGTCGGGTGCTGCTGTGAAGTACAAGAGCTCTATGGACTGCATGATGCAGGTGATCAAACAGGAGGGAGCTGCAGCACTGATGCGTGGAGCTGGTGCGAACATTCTCCGTGGTGTTGCCGGTGCTGGTGTGCTCTCCGGTGTGGATGCACTTAAGCCCATGTACATCAAGTGGCGCAAGGCCAATGAGCTGAAGAAGGAGTAAAATAATGAGATAAGCTAAGACAATAAGTTTGTTAATATGAAAATCTGATTAAAGTGTAGGTATCATGTATTCTCTTTGTAAACAAGAGCTCATGTTCCTCTTAGAAGAAATTAAGCAAACGAAAACAGTTGATACATTCGCTAACGTGTTGGGACTTTATATATTTTAAGTTCTTTTGACTTTGAGGGGGATGTCAATGGAATTACAATGGTTCCAGTTTACTCTCCATATCCAGTGTCTTAATGTTTTTATATTGGAGTTGTTTGTGTCATCTGGTTTTCCCATAACGGTGTTCTTTTTTTTTTTTCTTTGTATTTCTTTCTATGGTGTAGAATAAGAATTATATTTACCACCCCAAAAAAGGCAATCCCAAGAACATGTCGTCGAAACGTGAGAAGCTCCCCAAGCTTGGATTCTTCGAGGAATTCATGGTTGGTGGCGTTGCTGCTGGTGTCGCCAAGACTGCCGCTGCTCCGATTGAGCGTATCAAGCTTCTGGTGCAGAACCAGGGTGAGATGATTAAGCAGGGCCGCCTGGACAAGCCATACGCCGGTGTTGTGGACTGTTTCACTCGTACAGTGCAGACGGAGGGTGTTTACTCACTTTGGCGTGGCAACCTCTCGAACGTTATCCGCTACTTCCCTACACAGGCGCTGAACTTTGCATTCAAGGATACGTTCAAACGCATGTTCAACTTCAAGAAGGAGAAGGATGGCTATGCGAAGTGGTTCATGGGCAACATGGCCTCTGGTGGTCTTGCTGGTGCTGCTTCCCTGTGCTTCGTGTACTCCCTTGACTACGTGCGTACACGCCTTGCCAACGACACGAAGTCTGCGAAGAAGGGTGGCGAGCGTCAGTTTAATGGTCTTCTGGACTGCTACGTGAAGACGTGGAAGAGTGACGGTATTGTGGGTCTCTACCGCGGTTTCATGGTGTCATGCGTGGGTATTGTTGTGTACCGTGGCTTCTACTTTGGTCTGTACGACACACTGCAGCCCATGCTCCCTGTGGACACATTTATTGTGAACTTCTTCCTCGGATGGATGGTGACGATCGTCGCTGGCCTTCTCTCCTACCCTCTGGATACCGTCCGTCGTCGTATGATGATGACGTCGGGTGCTGCTGTGAAGTACAAGAGCTCTATGGACTGCATGATGCAGGTGATCAAGCAGGAGGGAGCTGCAGCACTGATGCGTGGAGCTGGTGCGAACATTCTCCGTGGTGTTGCCGGTGCTGGTGTGCTCTCCGGTGTGGATGCACTTAAGCCCATGTACATCAAGTGGCGCAAGGCCGATGAGCTGAAAAAACAATAAGGTAATCTTTATGTGTGGGCATGTTGTCTTAATTTTTTTTTTCCGGTTAGACACAAATGTACATTTTTTGAGTTTGTGATGACGAAGAATGTATGTAATGCTCATTTTTATGAATATTATATTTCTATATATATCCCAAATTTAGTTGACTAAAGTAGGAAAAGTAGGAAAAAGTAGCAAGGGGAATCCTTGAAATATGTTTGCAGACCACTGTAACCTTAATGGGGCATGGGTGTTTTCAGCGTTTCTGGGTTCTTTTTTTTTTGCATGACGGTACAGAGGATTATGGTGAATGTTTGATATTGTGGTATCTTCTTGTGCGTTTATAAGGCACCACGTTTATGATTCTTCGCCACGTATGTTTTTAACGGTTCTGAAAAGGTTTTTTTTTGTAGTGGGTCTGTATTTGATGTCTTTTTGTAGTGAAATTCTTTTTTTTTTTTTCTCTGTTACTCTGTTCCCTTTATTGTTTTGGTATTTAAGATGTATTTTTCTCTTGCCGGTGTAATTATTACTTTGTTTTTTCTATTGACTGTTTTTTTTTTTTTTGTTTTTTTTTACTCTTTTTTTTGCCGGTGGATGATGTAATGCATGAGAGATCAAGCAGGAAACACTAGCGAAAAGCTAAAAGTAACAAGCAGGTCGTTATCTGAGTCACTATGCCGCGAGGTCAGATTATGACTGGGCAGGATTGGGAGCCGCAGGTATTTAACTTCCAAAACAGGAATTCTGCTGGTAAGAGACCTGGCCGTGTGAGCGAGGCTGAGGCAAACCGTGTGGTACAGCGTGGAGGAGATGTGGATGTGATGAAGAAGGAACACTTCCGCGCGAATACTCAAAAGGCAGGTCCTGGTGCTAATGCCAAGAAGTTAGATGAAGACAATGAAACGTTAAAGGTAAAACGAGTCGATAACAACCTTCGTATTGCCATTCAGAAGGCGCGGCAGAGTAAAGGTTGGACTCAACAGGATTTGGCCCAGCGCATTGCTGAGCGTGTGGGCGTTGTGACAGAGTATGAAAATGGTAAGGCTGTGCCTGAGGAACGTGTGCTGGTGAAGATGGAGAAAGCATTCGGTATTCATTTACGTGGTGTGAAGGCAGGTCAGCCATTTGGACATGCTCAACAGCAGCCGGTGAAAAAGGCACCTTGAAATTGTTTTTTATATCTTCTTCGTTTCTTTTTCATTGCCATCTATTTGTTTTTTTTTTTTTTTTTTTTTTTTACTTTGATCTTTCCCACGCCGCTCTAGAACCACAAGCTTGCTTTTTTCTCGTGTGTGTTATGCTAACGGTTTTTTTTTTTCCTTATCATGATTGATGGTGTTTTTTTTTTTTAATTATTATTGGTAATAGGGAGAAGCAAAAAATAAATGAAGGACAGATATCCAAAGAAAAAAGGGACAAAATAAAAGCCGATAGAACCTTGTTAAGAAATAAAAACGAAAAAAAAAATACATGATCTCTCGGTATTTCCCGAGAGGAAAAAAGAAAGAGAGAGAGAGAGAGAGAGGAGGCTGTGTAGCAAGTTAGTTGTGGTTTTCTCGGGAATTCGCCTGTGTCTCGTTCCGATATTCACACCATTTTTCTTTTTATTTATTTATTTTTTTTTTCTGGTCATTGTGTTTGTTTCTTTTTATTATGATTTTCTATATGTGTCGTTGGAATATCCTTTTTTTTGTTATATATATATATTTTTTTTTTGTTTTTCTTGAATTCTTCCTTCTTTTGTTTCAAAACAACAACTCTGTTTGATATGGAGCAAAATAGTACATCCGTTACGTAAGCCTAGACGTGGGCTCAAGTAGGAACGTAGATAAAGAAAAAGAAAAAGGAAAAGGAAAAAAAAGGGTAACAAAGCAAAAATTGTTTTTTTTTTATCTTCATTGTCATTTGTATTCGTTATTATCAGCATCATTGACGGTGTCACCGCAATTTGAAGGAATAACAAAAGAAAAAAAAAAAGCAATAACGGAGTCTATTGCGTGCTTTCTTTATTATTATTATTATTACAAAGAACAAAAACGACGATAAAATGAACAGGTACTCAATATTGGGTCAGTTAGGGGACGGTTCATTTGGTGTCGTAAGTAAAGCCCAACATACTAGCAGTGGAGAGATAGTGGCTGTAAAGAAAATGAAGCAACGATTTTCTAGCTGGGAAGAATGTTTGCAACTTCGTGAGATTCAGTCACTCAGGAAGTTGCAGCACCCAAATATTGTGAAATTAAAGGAAGTAGTACGTGAAAACACGGAACTTTTTTTAATATTTGAGTACATGGAGATGAATTTATTCAATATTCAACGAAAGCGGGCAGAACAGATGAGTGGAGTACAGAGTTTTTTCAACGACCGCGAGATCCGTAGCATTATGTGCCAGACTTTACTGGCTGTTCAGGCAATTCACAAAGGTGGTTTTATGCATCGAGATTTAAAACCAGAAAATCTTCTGACAAAAGGAGACATTGTTAAAGTTGCTGATTTTGGGCTTGCAAAAGAAATTCGCTCACGACCTCCTTTTACTGATTATGTTTCTACACGCTGGTACAGAGCACCAGAAATCATCTTGCGTTCTACACACTATAACTCCCCTGTAGACATATGGGCTTGTGGCGTTATATTTGCGGAACTCTACCTTAATCGACCTCTTTTTCCAGGATCATCAGACAGTGATCAATTGTTTAAAATTTGTTCTGTTCTTGGTGCGCCAAGTCCCTCAGCGTGGGATGAGGGATATCAACTCTCGCGGCGCCTAAATATGCGGTTTCCCAATGTGGCTCCTACACCATTGCGGCAGTTGTTAACCAATGCTCCACCGGCTGCCATTGATTTAATAGAACAAATGCTACGGTTTAATCCAAGTGACCGTCCAACAGCAACACAGTGTTTACAGCATCCATACTTCACTGGAACCACTAATGTAGCAGAAGCAGGGGGAACCCCAACAGCTCTTTACGCAGGTATTAGCACTGGACAACCGCACAATCCATTTCAGTTTGCTACAATGCATTCTTCAACACCCAATGGACCAGGTCAAAGTGGAGTGGGTCTTAGAGTAAATGGAGGAAGTCCTCCTCCTATTTCCTGTGGGGCGTCTCGGCTCCTTTCTCCCAATGTCAGCATACCTACATTAAACCCGTATGCTAACGTTGTGCGGTCAATACCCCAAAGTGTTCCAAAGGCAACCGCTAACGAAGATGAGTTTAATTTCTAGGCATAAAGGAAGAAGTGTCATCTTTTTTTTTTTGTTTCTTCTTAGTGTTCATCCTTGACTGTTTATTATGACATATATTGTGAAGAACACATCAGATGAAAGCCGCTGACGACAAAAGGAGCAAGACCACTTTGAAAACGTTGGATCTATTCATATACACGTTTTTACTGCCCTTTTAATGTTTTGTGTCTTTTTATTTCCCCTTCTTTTTTGCTTTGGGTTTCTCTTGAGTCAAGTGAAGTGTGCTTCATTGAATCATTGACATGTGAAAATGTGCCCACTTTTCAATATCTTGTATTCGGTTCATATTTGCACTCACTTGAAAGCGAGCAACTAATTAGGCAGTCAAAGAATGAAACCATTTACCGTCAAGGGTTAAATGTTTCATTTCCATTTGGTGGGGGAATACCT